TATAGTTTCTTTTTTTATTAAGCTTTTTTTTAATAGCAAAAAAGACTCATTTTTTATGATGCTTCATATTACTTAGAGTACGCGTAAATTTATGCATTCTTTATCAAGCTTCTCTGTCGCAAAACAAAATATAAGTTGCGCATCAAAATAAATAAAATAATAAAAAATAAATAGCCGCCTGTAACGAAGTGCAATATTAAAAAGGAAACACAGAAGTTTGTACGCAAAGCGTTGCAACTCGAAACAGAATTGAGAGCTTGATGCAAAATACCTATTATTCGTTTATAATTCGAATTATACCCTCAATATTATTACTATATTTTCTGAAATATCCATTTCTTTATGTTTTTATTTCCGTAATCTCCAAATTGCTTGATTTGCACTTCAAGTTTACTTAAAAGGGCTGAAGCTTAAACTCTATGACGTATAGATGTACATATATACGTACATATGTATAAATCGCACCAAAAAAAAAAGTCGCCGTTTAGGAGTCTGAGTCTAAAATTTTTTGCCAGGCAATTTCGAAATTTTTTGCCGAACGTATGGTTGCCTTTTTAAATTTCTGGCTTTCCTCGTCTGAGTCTGCATAAGATTTTAATTGCGTATAAGCAACGTATTCATAGTTCAGAGCATTTTAATTGATCCTAGTTAATTATATTGACCTCAAAAGGGAAGAACTCATTTCCTTACGTGTTATTCCTGTATGAAAAATAAACGCTCGAATTAATTAAAAAAAAATTATATAAAAAAGTCAGTGCAATGTAGAATAACAATATGGGTATCAAATAAAAAAGCAAATTCAGAAAAAAATACAAAATTTAAAATTTTAAAATATATGCTTGAAATTTTGCAATATTTATTTTTGGAAAAATTTTATGTTAAGCGCTAAAATACACTCGACCAAATTCTCTTATACCTTTATTAGCTTAAAAAATAAAATTAAATAAAAGAGCATTTTCACTATCCTTGTGAATCAAAAAATTTTATTTTTTTAATCTACAAAAGCCTTTCTTTCATTTTGGTACGCGTATTTTTATTCTACTCGCAGTGAATTTTTTTATTAATTTTTTTAATTAATCATGTCTTTAAAATTTCAAAGTCTTTAAAAAAATCCTGACGTCAGAGTGAAAAACTAAAAACGCAGTTTTTCCACATTTTTGAGGATTTCAATGATTTAGTGGTGGCGCATAGACTTAAAGCAATAAAAAATAATAATTCGAATAGTTGCAAGTGTATGTATATCTTTTCTGCACAACCCGCAGCTTTGCACACCTAAATGCATATGTATTTACCTACATATATACGCGTGCATTAACGTTTGCTTTACTTATTTATGTATGTGTATTAACTTTGCATTTATGAAATTTTCAAACTCAGCGTACTTAAAACAAAATTATTTCTTGCCCATAATTATTTTGCAGTATGCATGTATGCAAAATTTAAAATTGTGTGAGTGAATGCACTTAAGCATACTTTATAAATATTACGAATGCATTTTAGTAAATTTGTTAATTATTTTTTTTTTTTTTGTTCTTCGCATTTGTGTCGACATTTAAGTTGATGATTGCGATTGTAGGTGTTGTCGAAAAAGATCAGCTCCGCGCACGTCAACACCCGCGCTCACACCCGACCCAACAGCAATTACACGAGCGGCGCTGTTCTCCAACGGTACGACAATGTTACGCAAACTGTCGATGCTATTTCGAAGTTTGGCGGCCTGAAATTTGGCTGGCAATTTCGGGGAGCCGCCAACTGAGAAGGCTTTAAACTCCTTCGAAGCGGTAGGCATTGAAGAAATAAGATCACATAAATAATAATAGTGCATATTTTAACACTTTGAAGGTTTGAAATACAGTTTTTTTTTTATTGTAACCAAACTTTTGTATATGAAGTTTCGAACAAAATTCTTAAAAAAATATTTTTAAACGAATATGTTTGTATGTATGTACACGAACGTACTAACTATTGAAAATAATTAACTAAAAATATTATTGTATTGCGAAAATAAGAATGTTCATGTGAACATAAGTTTAATTCAATTATTGTAATACTTAAATGAAGAACTATGTGTTTGTTGTTGGATAAAACGATGAATGTGTAATGTATGCATG